GATTCGTCATACAAATTCTTATAAGCCTTACATATATATACGTACGCACTATCAATTGGTGCATTCTAATTCGCCAATTATTTTCAGGAGGTATTCCCTGTGTACCAATTCTGAGCAGGCAAATATACCAAAAGTTTATTCAAATTTTTGCACTCTTTCCTTTTCGCCTCACCCACACTTTTTTGTCGAAATGGCAAAAAGTAAGAAACAAACCACGAAGTCTCAAACCGCGGAGACGTCTCAATCTTCCACAAACAATAACAGCAGGTATGTTTAGGCTCTAGACTTTTAGAATCAGAGGCGCATTTTCTTTTTTTTTTCCTTTTTTTTTTTCTCAACAATCGACTAAGTTAGAAATACATTGCCTCATCTGCAACTACTTAAAACTGAAAATTATGAATCATACATGCTTTACGAATCCACTATTTTTTTCCGAGAATTTATCCTACTTATCATTTAAAGTGATCACATTGATTATAACCAATATTTGATTATTCCATATTAAGAAAATTTCTAACTTACCCAAGTTTTTATTGCTAACTATATTTTCGTATTTATTTACATTGGAAATTTTGTTATATCGTTTTACTCTTAACTTTATTCATTGATATCTTTTTTGCATAATATTTTCTTATTCGTTTTTAAATTAGACATTTATTTTATTATCATATCAACTTTTCACATGACAAATTAATAAATGATAAATTAACACGATTGAAAGTATATATTAAAATATAATTTTTTTTTTGATTTTCAGATTTCAATCTAGCTGGTTCACAGATAGTATGAACCGTGAACATCATAAATACTGTGCCGCAGCTCTTAAAACATTGAAGCATCATCCTTCGGCAGCACCATTTCTTGAACCGGTTGATCATATTAAATACAATATCCCAGATTATCCTGAAATTATCAAAAATCCTATGGATCTTGGTACAGTTGAACAAAAGCTCAATGACTGTGCTTATGATAATGTGAATGCATTTATTACTGATGTTCGGTTGGTATTTTCCAACTGTATCATCTATAATGGAGCTGGTCATCAATTCTCTGTTTATGCGAAAGAATTAGACAATTTATTCACTCAACAGCTTATGAAGATGCCTGGTGTTAAAGAGGAGGTGAATTATCCTTTCACCATTCATCCATGTTAATAAGGTTGTATCCAAATATTTGATAATCATGGATATCAATTATTTTTGTTTCAGATACCGCAAAAACCTGTTGCTGAACCTTCTAGCAAAGGAACAAAGACATTTAAACCTGTTGTAGAATCACCTGCGGCAAAACCTGTAATATCGGATGTCAAACGTCCTAAAAGAACTATCAAGGCTCCTGCCAAAGATTTACCTGATGTACCTGCAGCTCGTCGTAAAAAAATTAAAAAGAACACTGATGTCGGATTTTGTCGTGAGGTCATTAGAGAATTACGGAAAAAAATTTATTGGCATTATGCAT